TCCCTTCCTTCCTTCTCTTTGATTCCTTTTCTTTGAGATGAGGTTTTAGGTATCCCATTGTGAACTCTTCTTGCTATATAACTGAGAATGACCATGAACTTCTGACCCTCCTGCTAATGAGTGCTGGGGTTATAGGTGGGCACCACTGTACACAGTGTATGTGGTGCTGGGAATCAAACTTGGGCCTGTATGTGCTAGCCAAGCACATCCTCAAGCCCTAAGTTCTTTAAAATTAGTATATTAAAATCTATTCATTGAGAATGTCATACCTTTATACATTGTATTATGAACCTATCCACCTACCATTACCACTCTATAACTTCAAGTGTCCTTTATCCTGTCTCTCTCCCAACCATGGTGTCCTTTTCATTTTTCCCCCAAATTAGTATTTCTCATATGCACATGTGTGTAGGGCTTCCACTGGGGCATGGCACCACTGGCAAAATTCCTACAGGAAAGTGAGTCTTCCTCCCTCAGTAATGATCAACCACCAGAACCTCCTCTGTCAAGGATGGGAACTTGGGGGCCCTACCCCCATTTGTGCAGGAATTTTGTCTGCCCAGATCCTAAATTCTTTCTTACACATAATTTATACTTTTTAGAAGAATGAGGTAGGTTTAAACTATCAGACGCCTGTTTACTTATTTATATAGTTGAGTTCTAAGTTAATTCTGAACATTCTGAAAACTAAGACAAAAATACACAGAATTTGTATTGATTTTGTTGTTCAATAAACAAGACAAGTTTTACCCTAGAATTAAATTCAAGGGAAACTGATTGCTTCATTTTACATTGTTACAGGAACTGCACAAAGTAAAATGGAGAATGCTTCCAACCAGCTTTAGAAAAGATACCAAGACATACTATAAACATACTTTTCTTATATTCCCATTCTATATAAGATACAACATTTAAAAGAAATTCCATCAATGAATGCTTTTGTTGTTGTTGTTGTTGTTGTTATTGGTCCTACTGGGATTTGAACATGCTAGGCAGCCAACTTACTACTGAGCTACATCCCCAGTAACAATTATATCTTCAAATAGTATGTTGGTTTTTTATGACAAAACCTAGAAAATATATAGCAGTATACCTTTAAAATTCAAAATAGCTAAAAAGGGGGGGGGCAGGAGGAAGGGAAAGAAATGAGAGAAGAGGAGAGGGGAGGGAAGGGAGCTCTAGAGCTGTTATTTAACAAGTGTCCCATGCAATGGAATGCACACTACAATTTCAGGACTACCAAGGAATTCAATAGAGGGTTGCAGCTCCCAGCATCTGTTCTGCTTAGAGTCAGGTATAATCAACAGAAAGACAAGTCAGTTTGGCTAGGAAAATTAGAACTCCATATGTCAAGATAGCCATGCCTGGCCATATACAAAAGCCTCAATAGTCTCTGTTGATTTTTGAGTTGTTGAATAAATATTTTGTACTAGAGAGAAATAGTATATATAGAAAACAGCAAAAATATTAAATTCTAATGCTAACATTCTTTAAGCCAATTTAATTTTATTTTCTGTGTGTGAGTGTTTTGCCTGCATGTATGTACATGCATAACATGAGTGTCTGTTGCCCTTGGAGGTCAAAAGAGGACGTCAGGTCCCTTGGCACAGGAGTTATAGACATTTGTGAACTGCTATATAGGTGGTGGGAAAGGAGGCTGTGCCCTCTGGAAGAGCAGTAAGTCCTCTTAACTGCTGAGGCAGCACTCCTGCCCCTTTTTCTTTTTTAAAAGGTTGTTTTAGCTTTGGAGGTTTAAACTAAAGACTGTGGTCTGAAGCTGAATTAGGTGAGTGGATAAAAATGTAGATTTTGCCGGGCGGTGGTGGCGCACGCCTTTAATCCCAGCACTCAGGAGGCAGAGGCAGGCGGATTTCTGAGTTCGAGGCCAGCCTGGTCTACAGAGTGAGTTCCAGGACAGCCCGGGCTATACAGAGAAACCCTGTCTTGAAAAACCAAAAAAAAAAAAAAAAAAAAAAAAAAAAAAATGTAGATTTTGAGTGTCCTCTTCACCATGTCATTACCATTGATCCAATTAGTAACTACAATATTTAGAAACTCGATGGCAATAAGAATAGGAGAGGGGCTTTTGAGCCATAGGATGTGCAAGCTGGCTCACAGACATGGTTAACAGGGAAATGCATAGCTAATAAGGCTGATTGGCAACCTTATGAATGTGGTAATCTGTGTTATTGATGACCGAAAGATTATGACTACTTGAAGGATGAAGGCAATAGCATTACCATGTTTATCAAATAAGTACATTTGAGTTTTGCTCGTGATTCCTGTTTGGCACCCAAGAATATAAGAGAGAACTCTGTTGTTTCCCCTACCCTTCTGTCACAGATAGGGTCTATATTGCAGGCTGAGTTCCAAATACTGGTTTACAGAAATTCTCCTGCTTCAGCTTCTTCAGGATCTGTGACTATAGGCCTGGGCTACTGTGCTTGGCTCAAAACCAAATCAGACCAGACTAGACCAGACCAAACCAGACCAAACCAAACCAAACCAAACCAAACCAAACCAAACCAAACCAAACCTCGGTTTTTTTAAATGTTCAAAGCTCTATGAAATGTGATGATCAGATAAAACTAGCTATATAGGGTGGATTGCAGCTTAATGGTAGAGCTTTTGTCAAGCATATATGAGACCCTGGGCTTAATCCCTAGTACTGTAAAAATCAATCATTCATGAAGTAGGGCTTGTCATATCCCATACTCTAAATGACAAAAACAAAATTTAGCACATTAAAGATTTGTTCTCTGCTATCTCTAAAATAACAAAGCCTGGTTCAAAAATTGCTCAGAAGACATTTAAAGATAGAATAAGGGTAATCTTCTGAGAGAAGAATGAATCAATATACTTTGGTACTTAGTTAAGAATATTACATAGGGGGTTGAGAGATGGGTCAGCGGTTAAGAGCACTGACTACTCTTCCTGAGTTCGATTCTCAGCAACCACATGGTGGCTCACAACCATCTGTAATGGGATCTGATGCCCTCTTCTTGTGTGTCTGAAGACAGCTAAAGTATATTCATATAGATTATATAATGATATATACATATTATATAATAAATAACAATAAATAATTTAAAAATAGATTGAGCTTTTAAAAAGGAATATTAAATATTAGGGGCCAACAAGATGGCTCAGTGGGTAATTCTTTTCTAACAAAAGAAAGAAAATGTAATTTCTCTGTAGAGAAAATATCTTTCTGGAGTTAAAAAAGTAACCTTAAAAAAAGATTTACTTTGTGGGTCTGTATGAGCATGTGAGTGCACACACCCTCAGAGGCCAGGGAGGTTATAAGATCCTCTGAACGAGGGCTGGAGGAGATTGGGAGCTCTGTGATGAGGGTGCTGGGACCCAAACTCTAGAAGAATAGCAAGTGCTCTTAACCACTGAGACATCTCTCTCTATCCAAAAAGCAAATTTTTATAAAGAGTCTTTGAAATCTGAGGCAGGACAGCTTGGTTTACATATTGAGTGCCAGGCCAGCCAAGGGAACATAGTGAGACCCACAGAAGGGGGTAGGAAGAGTTCATTTTTAGCACTAATAGAAATATTAAATGAGAAAGTTTTCAAACAGACTTGCATCTAATTATCAGCTTAATGATACATACTACTACAAAGACTTCCCACGTTTAAAACTGTGGTTACTTACTTACCTCCAAACCTCTTCTCTGTTTTCCAAGTTTAAAAAACTATCTTTGGCTAGGCATAGTGGCACATACCTTTAACCCCAACACTGGAGAGGCACAGGCAGGCAGACCTCTATGAGTTTGAGGCCAGCCTGGTCTACAGAGTCAACAAAAAAAATTATCTTTGTACATTCCCATTTAAAAATTATTGTCCCTATAAAGAGACTTAAAGAATTTAGGAAAGGGAATTTCTCATAACAAGGGGAGACAATTTATACAAATTTAAATATAGGTTTACTTTAGTATCTATAGAATCACTCACCCTGGTCATTGTATCGAGATAGATCAGCTTGGCTGATGTACAGGTCATGATCACCATCTAGTTCCCAGAATTTACAATAAATGACATAGAAATGTTCATAAGAGAAGTAATCTGTAATTTGGTTTATATCTTCCTCTTCCTCCAAAAGGGCCAGAGTCTGAAATGGTATGAATAAAAGAATTAATTTTTAAATGATGTTCAAGTAGCTTTGGTTATTATAGTCTTGAAAATATCTATTCATTAACTTAAAATTTTGATTTTGGTACCAAACCAGGAACTGTGTGTGTGTGTGTGTTTGTATGGTCTGAGACTGGGTTTCTCTGGCTGTCCTGGAACTTGCTTTGTAGTCCAGGCTAGCCTTAAACTCGGAGATCCACCTGCCTATGCCTCCTGAGTGCTACGATTAAAGGCCTGCACCACCATTGCCTGGCCAAGAGAGTAGATTTTTAATAAGTAGCCCTCCACTATTCATGTTCATAAACTAAGAATCCTTAATTTTTCAAAATTATATGAGCAATATTAAGAAGAATGGGAATATACATATAATGTTTGGCTTTGTAATGGAAAAGTTTATCATAAGCATGACTTATGTATACAATTGTGGTTACATATAGTGGCCTGAAACAAAAGGCAGTGGGTGGAACTAAGGGCTCTAGTAGAGATTCCATTAAGTGGGTAGAAAAATGAAAACATTTCCATAAATGAAAGAAACTTTAAGAAAACTTAATAGAAAAATTTCAGGAATATATATAAATGGGCTAAATCTCCCTCTTAAAATATTTTTGATCAAATATAAAAAAATCCCTCAAAACAGATAAATATATATCGTCTACAAGAGATATGTCTAATGAGGCTGGTGAGATGGCTTATCAGTAAGGGTGTTTGTTGCTACTAAACATAATGAATTGAGTTTGATACTAGGGTCCATACTGTGGAGGGAAAGAACAGATTCCTGACTTCTGACCTTTACCTGATCACACATACCACACACAAATGTAATAAAAAATTTAAAAAGAATAATGTCCAAAATAAAAGAGGCCCATAAAAGACAAGCGTAAATAAAAAGAAAAATAGCTAACAATACAAATTGGAAATAAAGTGGAATACAAGGCAGAAAACACAGAGGACAGAGAGGACTATCTTGTAATATAAATGTATTGCTCTGATTGTGGTGGTCTGAATAGTGCCATGGGAGGTGGCACCATTAGGAGGTGTGGCCTTCTTGGAGGAAGTGTGTCATTGTGTAGGGGGGCTTTGAGGGCTCTGAGCGATCAAACTCTGCCCAGGGCAGAAAAGATCCTCCTCCTGGCTGCCTGTGGAAAATAGTCTTCACCCCCTTCTACTGTCATTGGATCAAGATGTAGTCCAGTTTCTGCCTAGGTGCCACCATACTTCCCACCATGATGATAACAGACTGAACCTCTGAAACTGTAAGCCATCCCCATTAATACTGTCCTTTGTAAGAGCTGTCTTGGTCATGGCGTCTCTTCACAGCAATGAAACCCAAACTAAGACACTGATAAAATTACTTTTTAAAATGTTTACTATAGGAAGTGATTTTGTAAATTGAAAAAAAAATCATTAAATTATATAAATTGTTTAATGGAAGATTATGAAGTAAGCAAAATTAAATTATAGTCTTTGTAACACAAAGAAAAAAACATGGTATAAGTATACGTTAACTCCTGCTGTTGGTTACCCTCCTGCCCTGTTTGGGTTCCCTAACAGCAAGAGAATAAAGAAAGGACAGATAGACAATCAGGCACACAAACAGGAAAGCTGGGATCTGGTGGGGTTCTCTGGTACTACCTTGGAACCTCAATTTGTTTATCAGGTACAGCACAGGGTGGTGGTAGTGGTTTAAGCTAGTCTCAGTAGGAAGTCTCTGTAGTTGAGCCATACTAGGCTGTAAACATCCAGGAAGAAGTCACAATTGCTAGTTCTTGCACACACACATTAATCATCCATAAACACACATACTTGGACTCAAGAAAAGCTTTGCTATTTCTCTTGACCCTAGCCTATATAGGTAAAGAGTCTGTCAATTCCCCATGGGCTAACTGTTCTTGGAGTCCTCCACAGGCTCTGCCCATGTCATAATACCCATCCACTCAGGACTTACTTACTCAAGGGCTTCCTCTGCTCCCAAGTTAGTGAATGTGTAAGGGAAAGGATGAACTGGATTTTTAAGGGTTAATTTAACAGCATCTATTAAAGTATCATTTGATCCAGGATTTTTTTCTTTTAGTAGTCTATTCTAGAGAAATTGTTATTTATATACCCAGAAGAGTAAGGTTCAAGAATGAGCACGACATCATTGTAATAGAAAAAAATATAAAAATGCCCTAAGCCTCAACAGAGGAATATATAATCAATTACAGCATAGCCATGCAATCAATCATGCAGAATAGATGTACAAAAATAGAAGGAATCCCAAGACATTTTCAAGAAAAAAGAAAACCCAACCAGATTTATAAAGTAGTATGTATCCTCCCACATCCTTTAGAAAAGACTCCATAGAACCATTGGGATAGCTTAGTGGGTACAGGCACTTCCTGCCAAGCCTGATTCCCTGAATTTGATCCCTAAGACTACATGATGGGGGAGAAAACCAACTCTGGGAATCTGTTTTTCTGACAATAGCACTTTTATGCTACCCCACTCCAAATGAATGAACAAATGAATTAATGAATGAAAGAAAGAAAGAAAGAAAGAAAATCTCTCTATAGCATTCTTAAAAAACAAAACAATATACTATGTATATAAAATAAGACTAAAGGGGTTGGAGAGACGGTTCAGTGGTTAAGTACACTGGCTACTTTTTCAGAGGACTCAGGTTCAGTTTCCAGCACTCACATGATGGCTCACAACCCTCTGTAATTCCAGTCCCAGGAGACCAGATACCCTTTTATGGCTTCTGAGTGTACCAAGCACACATATAGTACACATATATACTTGCAGACAAAATTCTTATATACATAGATAAATGAATAAAATTTAAGAATACAGATGTATGAGTTTTCTCTATGGGAAAGTATATGAAATGCCTAGTGAAGAGATAAACAGTGATTCGACACCTCCCCCCCCCCAACTCCCCCAAGATAGTGTTTCTCTGTGTTTAGCCCTGGCTATCTTGGAAATTACTCTGTAGACCACCTGGCTGAGAACTCACAGAGCTCTGCCTTCCTCTCTCTGTGTCTCAAGTGCTGAGATTAAAGGTATGTGTCACTACCACCACCTGGCATAGACAGTGATTTTTGATTACTTTTTACTCTAAATATATTCATAGAACTAGAATGTTTTGAACATTTGTTCATGGACTCAAAAGAAGACTAAGGAGACGGATAAGAAAAAAAAAGAGGAGGGAAATTAAGTCACCCTGTAGAAAGAGAACATTTGAATTTTACTCCCAGTTCTGCAGCCTGCTAGCTGTGTGCTTCTGTGCAAGTTACTCAACAACACCTGAGTCTCAAACTATACAATTACAAAGAAATTTTATTAAAATAATAAAGAGTTAGGGGCTACAGCGAAGGCTCAGGGGTTAAGAGCATTTGTTGCTCTTGCAGAGGATCTGGGTTCAGTTCTTAGTATCCATGGGCTCCAACACCCTCTTCTGACCTCCTTGGGAATAGTTACACATATAGTACAGATACATACATATATTAAAAATATGAGAAATTATAATTTTTGTGTTATTAAGGAAACTACTGTCTTCTTAACCGACTTTTTAATATCTACTGAGAGCCCAGGCAGGCGTCAGGTGTTTGCTAACTGTCAGCAATGATTGTGATGATGACTGTTCATTTCACAGCAGTGGTTCCCAGCCTTCCTAACGCTGCAGTCCCTCAATACAGTTCATCAGGTTGTGGTGACCCTCAAAAATTGCTTCCATTGCTACTTCATAACTAAATTTTGTTACTGTTATTAATCATAATGTAAATATATGATATGTAGGATATCTGATATGCAGCCCTTGTGGAAGGGTTGTCTGACCCCCAAAGGAGTTGTGGCCTACAGGTTGAGTTTTGTTATAGAGTAACAAAATACTTGTTTATTCATTATAGATTGCTTCGTTGCCAGGCTTTCAATACCATGTCTATCTCACATGAAGATAAAGATAGGGAGGATACAGAATAATAAGGTACTGTTATTATTAAAGCTTCATTTAGTATGATCCATTTTAAATATTCTTTTTTCTTTCAAGTATGAATCATTCTATTTTCTTTATATATTACCCCGGTAAAAGGCTCCCACTAGTGGTCAATAATTTTTTTGTTTGATAAAATAACTGAATAAAATGTATTATTTCTAGCAAGGTAGAGTCATTACTGAAAGCATCAAGTCTATATACTTCCATTTCTTTGGCAAGCCTACTTTTACAACCTAGTTACTATCATGGGAGCCACTGGGCACTTGCACTAGTTGGAAGTTCTTGAACATGAGGGACATTTTCTGCTTCTGGCTTTGGCTTGTGCTGTTGCTGCTTCCTGGAAACCCTCCCTTCCTATTGATATTTTATCCTGCTAAACTCCTGATATTCTCCAAGATGAAAATCATATGTTGATCCTTCTGAGGCTTCTGCATCTTTTATGTACATCTATTAATTCAGGTGTAGATGTCCATTTCTGTTTTTGTTTCACAGTATATACCTTCAGGCAGAAATCCTATATTATTTTTATTTTGACAGCCCTCCCGCCCCCAATGTGGGTAATTGGTAAGTGCTTTCACCTGGAAGAAGTGATACTTAGCACTTTGCAACAGAGTAAGAAAAGAACTTAAGTAAAATTATTAAATTGAGAGGCATACTTGCAAAAAGTTGCTTTTCCTTATCTCTGTCGAAGTAATTTTTCCACTCCAAGATCTGTTGACTGTGTAGAATATTCTCTGAACAACCTAGTTTGAAAAGGAAAACAAAACCAATTAAAAGGGAAGTTCAGATATCTAATACCCTACTGAAGGCCAGATTATGAATATCTGTAGACTAATTCAAGCAACAACTTTTGATGTCAGTTTCAATTTTGAATAAAAAACTAAAACTATGTATTTTAACTCTCTCTATATAGTATACATTTGCCTTTGTAAGAGAAAAAAATTCCCTTTCTTGTCTTTGTTTCCTAACCACTTATATCTCCCATTGTGTCTCAATTACACAAGGACACCTCTTTCAAATAGTGCTCATTGGGCTATGTACATTTGGTAAGGTAATGAGGTAGGGGGATTCTTCTTGTGTTGGCTTAATAATCGGTAAGTCAGAGGATGGCTGTTAAACTGGTCTGATCCAAAAGAGTGTTATTTTGCTTATTAAAGTTGTATTTGGGCCTAGCTTAGCTCTTTCTCTGCAAACCTTTCAGCCTTTCCTCCTGCCCCATCTCTATTCCTTTCTGTCAGCTGATGACCCAGGAACATTTTGTACCGGAGACCTCACAGTCATCACACTCGCCCAGGATCCTGAGAGGGCAGCAGTAACCAAAGAACATAACACTCGTCCAACTAAGATAAGACCAAATATTGATATCAAGAAACTCTTCCAACATCATTCCTCAGATGACTAGATCCCAGCATAAGAAGCAAACAGGTACAGCATTTTAATATCTAACAATAGACTTCAAACCAAAACTAATCAGAAGAGATTGGAAAGGGAATTACATACTCATTAAAGGAAAAAAAAACTATCAAGAGGATATTGAAATTCTAAACGTTTATGTGCCAACCACAGGACCCATCTTTATAAAAGAAACACTATTACAGCTAAAACATCACCTGTTGACCTTTATAGAGTGATAGCGGGTGACTTCAATACCCAGCTCTTGCCAATAGAAAGGTCATCCAGATACAAACTAAACAGAAATGCTGGAGCTAAATAATGTCATAAATCAAAGGGATGTAGTAGACATCTACTGAATATTTCACCCAAACACAGAAGAATATACTTTCTTCTCAGTAGCTGATGGAACTTTCTCCAAAATTGATCACATACTTGGACATGAAGCAAGTCTCAACAGATATAAAAAAAACTGAAGTAACATCCAGCCTTCTACTTGACCACCATGGATTAAAGCTGGATATCAACGAAAGAAATGTACTAAGTGCTTACATTTAAAAACAACAACAACAACAACAAACAAACCTGGAGCGATCTTACCTTAGTAATTCAGTGTCACACCTGAAAGCCCTAGAGCAACAAGAAATAATACTCCAAAAGAGTAGATGGTAAGAAATAACTGAATTCAGGAATGAAATCAATGTAATAATACAAAAAAATTAATAAAACAAAGGGTTGGTTCTTTGACAAAAATTGACAAAACAGAAAAAGCCTTAGCCAAAGTAACTAAAAGACTGAGGGAGAATATCCAGATTAATAAAATTCAGAGTGAAAAGGTGGATATTAGAACAGATACTGAAGAAGTTCAGAGCATCATAAACTTTACAGATCTATACTGCACCAAACTGAGAAAAGAATCAATACCAAGTAAGCAATTTAAAGAGGCCCATAACTCCATGTCCCCTAGAGAAATTAAAGACTCCTAGCAGTGGGTAGGGGAAGTGAAGGCCAGGGCCAGATTGATTCAGCACAGAATTCTGCCAGGGCTTCAAAGAAGAATTAATAGTAATATTCCTCAAATTACTCTGCAAAATAGACATTGGGGGAACATTTTACAATTCTTTTTATAAGGCCACTATTACCCTGATACCTAAACCATACAAAGAGCCAAAAAAGTTATATAGATCAATATCCCTTATGAATGTTGATGCAAAGATTCTAAATAAAATATTCGCAATTTAAATCCAAGAACACACCAAAAGTAGTTTCCACCATGATGAAGTTGGCTTCATTCCAGAGATACAGGGCTGATTCAACATATGTAAATCAGTAAACATAGTCCACCAGATAAATAGATTGAAAGACAAAAACTACGAGATCGTCTCACTAGATGCAGAAAGGAAATGCAGCATCCCTTCAGGATAAAAATCCTGGAGAGACTAGGAATACAAGGGACATATATACTAAAGGCAACTCTACAGCCAAAATCAATCTAAACAGAAACTCAATTTCTAATAAAACCAAGAGCAAAACAAGTATATTCACTCTCCTCCTACTTACTCAATATAGTACTTAGTTATAACAGTAAGACAGCTAAATAAAGGGAATACAAATAGGAGAGGAAGAAATCAAAATATCTTTATTTGCAGATGATATATACATAAAAGATCCTCAAATAGCTGGGCAGTGGTGACGCACGCCTTTAATCCCAGCACTTGGGAGGCAGAGGCAGGCGAATTTCTGAGTTCGAGGCCAGCCTGGTCTACAGAGTGAGTTCCAGGACAGCCAGGGCTACACAGAGAAACCCTGTCTTGAAAAAACAAAAAACAAACAAACAAAAAAATCCTCAAAATTCCACTAGGAAACTTCTACAGTTCATAAACACAGCAAAGTATCAGGATACAAAAGTGACATATATATAAAAAAAAAAATCAGTTGCCTTTTTATATACAATGAGTCTGAGAGAGAATTCAACTATCTTTAACAATGACCTAAAATTTTGGGGGGAATAAATCTAATTAAGCAAGTTAGACTTGATTAATAAAAACTTTAAGCCATTGACAAAATAAACTGAAGAGACCAGAAGATGGAAAACTCTTCCATGCTCATGGATTGGTAGGATTATTTATTATTGAAAAATGGTCATCCTGTCAAAAGCATTCTACAGATTCAATCCCTATGAAAATTCCAACAAAATTCTTCACAGAAATTTATTTAAACTTCATGTGGAAAGATTAAAAATCCAGGATAGCTGAAACAATTCTGAATAATAAAAGAACTTCTGGAGGTATATACAATCCCAGATTCCAGTTCATTCTACAGACCTATAGTAATAAACACAGCATGGTATCGTCATGAAAACAGACATGCTGATCAATGGAGCAGAAGATCCAGACATACGTTTGTACATCTGATTTTAACAAAAAGGCAAAAAATACACACTGGAAAGTAAGAAATCTGTATCAGTTGGTGTAGAAGAATAAATCAGATACATATTTATCTTCTATACAAAACTTGATTTAAAGATCAAGGACCTCACCTTAAGACCAGATATCCTGAATCTGATAAAATGAAACTGAGGAATATACTTGAACCAATTGTCACAGGAAAGGACTTTCTTAACAAGACACTGATAGCGCAGGCACTGAGATTAGGAATAATGAAAGGGACCTCATGAAGCTGAAAAGCTTGTGTATGGCAAAGGGCATTGTCATTTAGGGAAAGCAGCAGCCTACAAAGTGGGACAAGATCTTTACCAACTATACATCTAATAGAGGATTAACATCGAAAGAACCAAAATTACAGAACAAGAAAACAACCCAAATAAAAAATGTGGTACTGAACTAAGCAGAGAATTGTCAAAAGAGGAAACACAAATTGCTGAGAAACATTTAAATGTATGTTCAATATTGTCAGCCATCAGAATAATGCAAATTAAAACTTCCTTGAGATTTCATCTTACCATAGTCAGACTGGCCAAGATCAATGAAACATATGACAACACATGCTGGCAGGGACATAGGGAAAGGGAACATCCATCCATTGCTGGTGGGAGTGCAAGCTAGTAAAGCCACCATGGAAATCAGTGTGGGAGTGTCTCAGGAAGCTGGGATCATTCTACCTCGATATCCAGCTGTACTAGGCTTGGTCATCTACCCAAAGGACTATGTCCCACTACAGAGACATTTGCCCATCCATGTTCATTGTTGCTCTAGTCATAATATCCAGAAACTGAAAACAGTCAGCATGCTCATCAACTGGTGAGTGAGTAATGGAAACGTGGAACATTTACACAATAGAATACTATTTAGCCATTAAAAATTAAGTTATGGCCGGGTGGTGATGGCGCACGCCTTTAATTCCAGCACTTGGGAGACAGAGACAGGCATATTTCTGAGTTCGAGGCCAGCCTGGTCTACAGACTGAGTTCCAGGACAGCCAAGGCTACACAGAGAAACCCTGTCTCGAAAAACCAAACAAAAAAAATTAAGTTATGAAATTATCAGATAAATGGATGGAGCTAGAAAAAAATGATCCCTGAGTGAAGTAACCTAGATCCAAAGAGACAAATATTGCCTGTTTTCTCCTATATGTGATGTTTGCTTTTAAGCCTTCAATATGTGTGCTGCAATCTGAACTGAGTAAAGAACTAGCAGGGAGGAAAGGTTCTCCAAAGGAAAACTAAGATATATTGGTATGGAGAGACAAGAAACTAGAAATAGGAAGATTAAATAGGGAGAGGGATGGAAGAGAAGGGTAAAGGAGGGACTATAGGGAGGCACAACTAACACTAAAGGACATTTAAAAACTATATGGAAACCTACCACTGTAGAAATATTCTAAAATATATAAACATATGAAAGAAATCTAAATAGAGTCACCAAATAATAGGGGACACAATGCTCTGACTAGATATTTTATGTTACCAAGTTAAACCTCCAGTGTCAGAACTGAGTTACATTTTGTTGAGTCTTTGGCCCTGTGGAAATTCCCAAATTATCACGGGATACTATCAAGGCTATCAGTTATTCTGCACAGCCTAATAGCCCCTATTGCTGAAGACAGTACTTAACATATGTCATCAAACACAGAAAAGTAAAGTTGGTGTTAACTAGGAGCTTCACTCTTACTGACTAGAATTCATAGTATTGGAATGGACTCTGCAAGCTACCAGAGGAGAAGGATAATCATCAGTATTTTCTTTAAAAAAAAAAAAGATTTATTTATTTATTTTATGTATTATGAGTATATTGTTGCTATCTTCAGGCACACCAGAAGAGAGCACCAGATCCCATTACAGATGGTTGTGAGCTACCATGTGGTTGCTGGGAATTGAACTCAAGACCTCTGG